GCAGGAACGGCATTTGTTCCAATCTATTACATCACTAGATCAAAACTGCATGTTGAGTCCCAGCCCAGGTGCTAGACCTCAATGAGATCCAACTGCAGAGCCCTCATGGAGCTGAGCCACCATTCTGTATCCCGCCATGCCAAAACACATGGGCAGATGAAAGGAACAGAGTGCTTGGAGGGGATTTCAGCTAGACAATGAACATTTATAGGTGTAATTAAAGACAGACATGCTGATGAGCCTCAAGGGGAAATTGCATTTACTACGGTCATCAGCGGAAAAGGAATCAAAGATCTGTAACGTGTAAAGATAAAGGTTTGGAAAAATGGAGAGCTAAGCCAACTGACCCACTGATGAGTCCCATGTCTCTCACCAAGAGCCTTCAGTGGAGGATTGGTTCAAGGGCAGATTAAGCCATCAAAGTGTTGGGTGCCCTCATGAATGGGATGCATAACAAACACTGTCATTTTGCACCATATGAAGCCTCAGTGTATCCTAATTTTCACCACTGTGTATGCACCTACCCCCACTACAAACTTCTTGAGACACAGAGATGAGGGAAGATCAAAGGGCAACTAAAACGATCAAGGGGCTGAGGCAGCTGCCTGCTGAGGAGAAACGAAACAGCTGGGACTCTTGATGCACAGAGAAAAGGCTGAAGGGGGATGCGATCAAGGTTTACAGAATCCCATGTACAGTAGACGAGGCGAATGTGGAACGGCTACTGACCAAACGCCAAGACACAAGAACTAGGGGCACTCAGCGTAACTTGCAGGAAATCAGTTGAACACAGACAAAAAGCAAATGCTTCTTTACCTGGCAGGTAGCAAACATCTGAAATCTACTGCTGAAGGAGGCTGCGTAAGTGGGTGGCGGGTTCAGAAGATTAGACAGATTCATGGACAAGAGGTCCACAGAGAGCTACTAAAGAGGATCAGGCAGGCAAATCCCCTCTAACACCCCTGATCCAAGGAGTGTGGAAGCTGGGGATGGATGAGTGCAAAGACCCACAGACAGTAGCCAGACTCACGTGCTCTTCCCCTAAAGAGCATCTCTTATTGCCACTGTGGGACAGAATATGGGGTGAGATGGACCAACAGGATGACCCGTTAGGGCACTTCTTACACTTCAGTCTCATCGCTGCTGCTACTCACCAGTCTTCGGTGAGATGCTGAGAGCAGTAAAAGAGCAGGTAACAAACCCTAGACGAAAATAAAATAAAACAACATAGTTTTCTGTCATTTTATCCCCCATGAGCAGACTTGTTGTGGGATCAGGCAGGAACCAGTGACAGCCTGAAGGAAGAGCTGGGAACAAAGCTTAAACTTCCAAGGAAAGCTGTCTCTGCAGTGTTTAAGGCCAAAGGAGCAGTAGGCCCCACCAGTTAAACATACACACGCAGAGGCACAACCAGAGGATCAGAGCAGTTCACTGCATGCCTGCCAGAAGCCTGGAGAAGAGGTGTCCTGGCTGTAGTATTTTCAGCTGTATAACCACCACATTGAACAACCCACAACAACTGAGAGGAAGGATGATAGAAGGGGCAGTTATAAGGAGATGAGGGTGCCCGGGGTGAGCTTCTCTGGTGTTACCAGCACATGCATATATATACATCCTGCTGGTGAATTAGAGTGGTTTGGCAGGTGGGGGTTATTTTAGACAGATAGCGCGGTTGTATATGGGAAGACCCAGGCGAGATCCAGGCCCACATTCCCAGCCCACGTGGCAGCCCTCCTACTTTGACTCACTCTAAGGCAGTAGTTAACTGCTGTGTTGTTACTGCGAAGGGTTGGGAATAATGAGTAGGTGACAAACAGTTGAAAAACCTCAAGCATTGCTAGTAACAGCTAGTTGTTCATCAGTTCAGGACAACGACCCTCAGAGGGCAGATTGCACAGTCATTACCCCCACGCCAACACAGGCTCGAGGCAAGCGGATGTACCCCCCAAACCCAGCACTAGCCAAGCCCTGCATTGTGCCAGGGGTTGCGTACCCCACGGCCTCGCTCCCATAGCCTGTCTGAAAGCAAAGCCTGCTCTAGGCTTAGTACAGAGCACTGCACTTCACACGGGTACCCCTCCAAACGATGCTTCGCTAAGCACATGCTGCACAAACCCCAGCTGCTGAAGTTTCCAGAGACGCCTCATTTTGTCATTTATATGCTACAGTGCTGTTTAAAAAAAGGTGAAGTTCCACTTCCTCTCCCTCTTTTCCCTTGCCATTCCCTCACAGATGCACAACCCCTCAAGCCAGCTGGCATTTGTGAATGATTTCACTTTGCAGGGACAGTTGTTAGGTCATTTCCCGTCCCTCCATCTGCAAACGTGCAGATGAAAAGAATCAAATTATGGCTGTCCGTAAAAAGTAGATTCTGCTTCTACATCCAAAGCACTGTGTTATGCAAGTTTGCCACACTGGTAACCTTTTCCTTGGGATAGAGCATCACTCAGAGTATGTCAGAGCTTTTCAACATTAGGCTTTAAGAAATAAGGGAGAAAGAGCTCCAAGAGGGAATAGTTATCATTCATTACACTGAACTTCTAAAGCACAGTCATAAAGCAACAAGCTCATAAATTAGAAAGCAACTAGCCTTAACTTCAGAAAACTCCCACCTCTGCATTTGACATCTGGCTTTGCGCCTGCCGGTGATGTTTGCAGATCTTATCTTTTTTGAGAAGGGTGTTTGAATACTGGCTACCAGGAAAGCATTGCCTGTGTTCGAGAGTGCTGGCACATAGCAGCTGGGAATACACCACAGTTAAGGGCTCTTACATCTTTTCCGATTTCCAAGCCAGTTCACAGCTGGATTCACAAGTCATCGTGTCCCACGATGATGTGGCAACCCCTTGGCCTCAGAATGAGACCAAACTGCCAGGGCCTGAGCTCCAGCCTTCCACAGCTGAAGCCTGTTGTACTAACTTGGCAATAGAGCCATATCCAGGAATCCTGGCCCAGCCCAGTCTTTTAAGCAGGGCCAGATAATTCTCATATGGTGAAGCTGCCCCTCAGGGACCTGAAACAGTCATCTGCAGACCTGACCACTGCAACAGGATGACTCCCCAGTTCATTCTTCACTAGGTGGGTAACTATCCCAAATAATACTTCAGGATACATCTAAGCTCACTCCAGCAGTCACTATGGGGCCTCTGCTGCATATTCTGCATTTTGGGAGGCTTATTAACTCAAGGAGAGGGCCAGACAAATACACTAGCTCAATTTCTCTGTGTTCACAACACAATAAATCCACCAGCAGGACAAGTTGCCTGAGAAGGGGCTATATTTCTAGACATTCCTTGTATCCAGACAGAATGGGGCTGCTGGCCCCAAGGAAACTTGGCTGGAGCTGCTCCCACAAACAAGCTGCTGCTCCGTGAACTGTTCCAGCATAGTGCCTGGGGATGGGAAAACCAGTTTAAATAAAAGTGACTTCATTCCAGTATGAACCAGCCTGGATGCAACAAGTTCACTTTTATTTGTGAACAGCTTCCACAAAAAGAAGTTACTCTAGAACTGCTACAGCTCCGTCGTTCTTTCTCTGCAGCTACACCAGCCGATTTCCATTCAAACAACCTATACAAACTTCAAATTCACTCTTTGCAGATGAGCACCTATCTAAAATCAGATGCATCCACAAATGCACTCTCTCAGGGCTGGAGACAGAGATCCTTTTTTCAATCTCAGATACAGCTGTTGTCCTTCCAGACCCCCTAAGTGACATCCTCAGCCAGAGGACACACAACCGTGGATGCGTTCACCTGCTCAGGCTTATCAGTCAGCAATAAGTCCATTTTGTGAGCATGGAACAGGTTCTGCACACACCTTCCCTCCCTGCACATGGTACCCTAGAAGACCACCACAGCACAGAAACCTTTGCAGGTCCTGACCCCATGAAGCTACTCAGATTCCGACAGTATGAATGGAAATCCCTGCACAGAGCTTTTTCCACTAACTGAATCAAACTTAAAAGACCTTCACTTCAATCAAAAAAGTGCCTCAAAATCCTCAAATTCCCATCCCATGGGCACAACTTAACATTTCCTTAAACAATCCACTTGACAACAGAGAAATCTTCATGAAACACTAAACACAATCCCAAGTGAAACATTAATGAATTCACCGATAGCAGATTCCCAGCAGCCTGGTATCTGAAAAGCAAAGCAATAAAGCCCTCAATAACCTGATACCAGCTGCGTCAGGCAAGGAAGCATGTCGCTTTGAAGAGGCTAGTAGGGTGTTTCCCAGTTATGTTTTCCAATTCAACAGTGATAGATGCCTTGGGATCATGAAACCTGGCAACACCCTTCTCATTACCAGCAATCATGTGCTTCCATCAGATGCTTCTGTCACTCCCTCAGAGCACACTGGAAGATGCATGTAAATAGAAATGCTACACCAAGACAATAATTAACATTTTGAATTAGCTGGTATTTTCTGCGGAGCTGTGTTCAAGCAGCGCAATCTTGTCTAATTAGATCCCAGTCTTTGATGAGATTACAAGGCTCGTTAATAATGGTAACTGGGTAGATCTCAGTCTCGGAATCTGGTAAGACATTTAACTTGGCAACACAGGCACCCCTTTTCTAAGCAATTCACTGTTTTACAATGCACGGAAAATGTTCAGATGGATTAAGAACTGGTTTCCAAGAAGTTGCCATCAGCGTAGGTGCTAATCCTGTAGTGAAGTTGCATGGCACTGGTACAAGGACCATGGCCAAGTCCCACTGGCATCAAATTGCATATTTAGAAGTAAATATGAAACCATTATTGAAAACAACCCACAAGAGCAGAACCGCAGAAGCTAAACAAGGGGATTACTGCACCGACAGATGCCGTTCTTGTTAAGTCTTACATGAAGCACATCACAAGGTGGGAAGTGCTTACCAACGCTGCGCCCAAGTGAGAGCAACTGGGGGTTTCCACTACAGTATCTCAATTTTTCTTCTCGGGGAGATCTGCACAAGCCTTCAAAGCTGCAGTTGCTCCCCTAACACCCCAGACCAGTACCAGACCGTAAGTTACTAACCAGAAAGCTAAGCACAGTCCAGCCACTGAGGCCATCAGAGATCTCAGGCCTGAAAAATACAACACCAGATCACCAACTAGCCCACGTTTGCACAGAAAGGAGGATGCGAAGCCAGGCAATGTCTCTGAAGTGAGGCCTGGCGACAGGGACACCGCTTCTTCAGCCACCCAGAAGAGCAGCAGTGCCACCACCATCCCCTCAGATGCCATGGGGACAGGGCAGCCACCCCCTGCCACCTCTCCTTCCCCATCCCAGCAAGGGAGCAGGGACAAGGCCCGGACTGGGGTCCAGAGCGAGGGACGGGCAGAAGGTCCCCCACCTCCGGACACTGACGGGGTCTGCTGCCATGGCAAGGGAGGGAACCCCCCCCCGCGGGGCCAAGTGGGATAGCCCAGACCAAGCGAC